TTGTGGCCCATGCGAATGGGAGCCTCCGAAATGTCCTAAGGCCACAAGTAGTCTCACCAGTGCCAGGATGTGAATGTAAAACATAATTTAGGTGCACCCTCGAGACTGGGCTTGCGGCCAGAGGCTGAGGACGGCGAGAAGCCGGCAGGATAGGCTCTTGGTCTAGCAGTTGCAAGGTCTTGGCATGTTCACCAATCGTTCCAAACACTGCCCCCTGAGCCTCCAAAGGCTCCGGATGGTCCTTGCCGCTGCTGCCTTGGGTTGTATTAGTTAGCTTGGCTCACTGGCAATCCTCAAGATGTCCAACGCGAGAAAATCTAACTGGAAGGGGCGCAAGAGCGCACGCTTCTGCCTTGAATGCTCGGGAACGAAATGTCAGTATGAAACGAGAAGCGCCGTGCGCTTCTTTGACTAGCGGATTTTAAAACAAATTTCCGATGCAATTGCAAAACCATCTACTGCATGAGCCTGGTAGCGTCAAAACCTTTGGTTAGCTATCTACCTTCAGAAACCGTGTCTCTGGAGGCTGTAATGCTTGGAGATGATTCTGCAACGGCCGTGAGACAAGTTGATGGTCTTCAGCTGCATGCGGCTGCCGCTGAAGCGGCGCCAGAAGCGGCGATGTGCGCGCGCACGGTTTGGAATCCTTGCAAAAACCAACTTGTTGCGGGTCACCTTCACCAGCTCATTGTGCTTTGCAATGAGTTCCACTTTTGGAAAGTGAGGTCCCTCAGGCGGAGGAAAAGTAGTATTTCCGCGACAAACGCTGGTTCTGAGGCAGCTCCGGATTCAGCACCATCAGATCGAGCAGGTAGCTCTTCTTGAGTTCGATGTGCTTGAATTCCGCAACATCGTTCGAGTCGTTTGTGGGCTTCTCAGGCTCCAACTCGTAGAACACAAAGTGTGGCGGCCAGTGGTCCAGAACGCTGCTGAAGGGCAAGGACGCTGGGATCAGCGGAATGAGGTCTGTCAATGCGCCCTGGATGCTAGAAGTGCAAGAGCGCAGCAGATGTTCAAGCCTCCTGACAGACTTCTTGTATGCATCCCAGCTGCCCCAATTAAATCGATGAACCTCGCCGCGCTCCAGAAGCAAAAGGTGTAGACTCGGTCCGGGGACAAATCTGCCTCAATGTCCTGAGCAAAACATGGATGAAACGGCAGCTGCTGGCAGTTTTACTACAGCGGTTCCCTCTCAACAATCCCATGCAGAATCGCTCCTGTACAGCTGCAGACCAAGCAGATGAACTGCTGGCACCACGCCTGGCAGAAAGCACAGCTGGCTGCTGATAATTCACAAGACGGGGCCTTAGATGGCGAAGGCTGCCAGTACATGTTGCCCGCGCCTTCGGATACCAAAGCCATCAAGATTGCCATCGATGGGCGGCAGCGCATCGGCTGCATCTGTCACTATGATCTGATCGAAGGCCTGCTTGACTTTACCCGTTGGAACTGTGCAGGAACTGCTTGCCAAGGCTGGCTGCCAGAACAACACTGCCCTGTGCCTGCAGCCCTGCCACTACGTGGCTGAGCATAGCATCCTCCTTCTGAGATTCCTGCTATCAAGCACTGGCCATGTGCCTCATTTATCTGCACAGCACTCCTGCCTGCCCCCTGTCCCCGAAGGTGAGCACAACTTTGGTCCCTATGGCATACTCCTGTCCACGGTTCCACGTGTGGGTGTTTCAGTATTGCAGCTGATACAAAAACTTTGACAGCAGTCCAGAGGAGCAATGGACAAGGTGCTCAGCCAGGCCGTGAAACCTCCAAGTGCGGGACAAGTCTTCGAGTCGAAAGCCCCAGCAGGGATTCCACAACCAAATTCAACCAAGAGGCGACTCAAAGGTATGTTGTAATCAAAATCTCTCAAGACAACCTTGGACGGCAGGTTCAGCAGTCCGTGTCAGGCACCTTGTTTTCTTGGCGGAGACGGTCTGAACTAAGGTCTACACACCTGCAAAGAGCTTTCCAGTTGGCTTTCGTCGGAACCGGCCCTGTAACCGCAGCTCCCAACGACGTGTCTTGCCAGCGAAGTAGTCGTCATAGGGGGTCGGTGCAGCATCCTTTGTCTGTCGATGCATCATGACCAGTCTGCCGACGAAATGGTCGTTGACCTTCAAAGCGCAAAAGGCACGAAGCATCAAGCTTCGAATTAGGAGCCCGAACAACCATGCACGCCTTGGATGCCACCGGGCAGCTATGTCTGTACCATGGCAGTTCAAAGGAATTGGCTTAGCAGGCTGCAAGGCAGCGAAGCTGCAGGTCTTCAGCATGTTCTGATCCAGCAGGCTCGTTGCCTCGTACAGCCTGACAGGATTCAGCTTGACTTCGGAAGACAGCGGAACCAAGCAGCTTAAGAATTGCCGTGGCAAGATAAGATGATGCACTACAATAGTGGCCCCGCACCTCAAATTCAGTTCACCGGGCTCACCAGCAATGTGCTGCCTCAACTGGCGGTCTCCCCAATGCAAGAAGAAGCTGGTGGATCCAGGATTGCTCCGCCAGTTCTGTCAAGCTGCCGTAGATTTCGGCGACTCTTCAAGATGAGGCGCCGTTTCTGTGCGTCTAGACTTTGAAGCGGCTGATCACCGTCAAGGCCGTCGGCACGATTGTCCGATATCCCTTGGGCTCTGACAAAAGTATGACACAACGGCTGTCGATGACAAGCAAGCTGCGTTGCCTGTGCAGGACAAGCATGCCAACAGCGCAGAAAAGCACGACGATTGCTGGCTCTTGCGCTTCTTCTCCTGACAAACGTCAGACATCAGCTGTGTCCTGACATGGCTCGGAAGGAAGTCGAGCATGTCGAGCCTCTGCCTCGGCCTCTTCCGCCTCAGCAGCTGCGAGCTCCTGCTCTTCGAGGAGTATCTGCTTGGAGTCCTCGACCTCCTCGCCTTTCAGGACACGTGCTACGTGCAAACCACGTGCACGGCTGTCACGGCCTTCTGTAGCAGCAGCTGCCTGCAAACAGTCAAGAGCGGCCTAGTACTCTTTGATCAGAGACCCCGGCAAAAGGCCTGTGTGGTGAGTGCACTTTGCACAAGGGTCAGACCAACTCCGGTAATCCCCGCGGCTGCCAGGAGCATATGGCCGCCAGCCGCACAGATGGCCACGCCTGTGGCCTGCACAGCATTGATAGAAAATGCTGAAACACGCTGTCAGCTCATCTCAGGCTTGACGCGGGGGGTTGCACCCATCTAAGGCTGCCAGCAAGCCACGGCCACGAGGCTGCTGGCGCTTGCATCAGACGAAGACAAGATCCAGGACGAGATTCCGAAAGCGCCTCTTGCGAGCAAAGCATCATGACCCATTAACACCTGCCTTGTTGACTCCCATGCTGCAGCTTGCTTGCGAGATCTTGTGAGAAGGTTGCATCAAAGGCTCTTCCAACTGGACCAGCAAGCGCCAGACCAGCCAGGCCAGCCGAAAGCGAGCTGAAGGAGGCCCAACTCACGCGAGCCGTATCCTCGTCGAGACGAAGGGCATAGGTGGAAGATGACGGTACTGGAGCTGCATCGACCATGGCAGGAATGCCTAGAATCCACACTAAGATTCAAGAAGTTGCTTCTGATTCGCATTTCTCATGCTATGTGATTCTTGGCTCTCAGAACCACGAGAGCAAGCGTTCAAGAGAAGTCGCTTCTGTTCTGGCTCAGCAGTGCAGCTCGCAATCCAGGCTTAGGCTCTTGCCGTGACTCAGCAGGCGTGGCAAGCGGAGGTCCACTCGGGCCAGCGGAAAACCTGGACTGCAATCACTTGGATACCGGACACCAACAGATCTGACTCGAGCCTGGACATGTGCTGCGTCGTGTCGCCTGCACAAGGATGTTTAATGCAGGAGAGACGGTCAAGTCGCACCTGATTCTTAACATTTCTCTATTTCCTTCAGCGACCTTCTGAAGCTTCCCTCGCATCACTGTCACTGTCAACCTCAGCAGAATGCGCCACATGCTAACTGGGGGAACTATCTGAGCGTTGAGGGCTTTAAGGGCAAGACGTCTTGCAAGGAGCTCTGGTTCCCCCATAGGTCATAGTTCGGCCTCCAGCAGCTGAAGCTGATACCAGAACGTCAGACTAAGTATACTGAGAACTTTGCGGTGAAAGAGACATTGCCTGTGGAGGCTACGAGCAGAAGATGCTTCTCTGGCTGATGCGCTTCAGAATGCTTGAGAAAAGGCCTCCAGTCTCTGCAAGAAGGAGCTCCGAACATGCCGTGCTTCAGACAAGTTCTCTCCAGACCTGCGCCACTGCATGGACCAGCCAGACATCACTCAGACAAAAACATGGTTGGTAGCATTCTTGTAACGATTACAGTCACGGTCCAAGTCACACTTGTTCGTAAAATGGGCTACAAGACCCTTATGGGCATTACATAGGGATTATTAGGGGTCATATGGGGATCATATGGGGTTACATTAGAGTTAAAAATATGTGTGTGATATGTGGGTTATGTAGGGGTCATATAGGGATAACGTAGGGGGTCATACAAGGGTTATATAGCGGTAATGTAGGGGTGATATAGGGATCATATCAGGAAATCGGCCTCCGCCCTATTGCAGACACGCTTGGCGTGATCATCACCGCCAACTCAGTCCATTTTGGCCGGCCGGGGCTCAAAAGTTGGATGCAAAGCACTTGCAAGAGTGGTAATAGTAAGAACACGAGAAGGAGTAACAGGAAGTGTAGTAGGAATAGAATAATCGAAACCTTGTTGCAAAAAAAATACCACAAGATCCTGAACAGGTGTTCCAGTATGCATGCGCGAAGCCTCGCGGGCTGAATACCATAACAAAACCCTAAACAACGCTTTGCCCACATTACTGTCTCAAACGCGCCATGTAAGCTCATCACAAAAAGCCTGATGTTATCTGTCCAAAACATAACCTTCACTACTTGAGTAGGATGGACTGCACTGGCCAGTCTGATCCAGAATGCTGCGCGAAGCTGGTAAGGATCAGCAAGAACAAGCAGTCGTTCTCACTGGACAGGGACACATCTTCAGCCTGCTCGGCCATTTCATCGATGTGAACCTGCATGAAATTCTGCTTGCCCTACGTTGGACTCAAGGCAAGGATTCACAGCCTGGCACTACGACTTAAGCGAATTTCGAGATCTTTCGGAGCGGTGTGATTTGTTTCCTTCTCGTAGTTTGGTTGCCAGCGCCAACAAAGACGCAATACCAAGCACGCCAGCGCGCATCCTATTCATTCACGGAGTTGCTGTTGCACTATCTGACCGCTGCTCCTAACACATACCTTCATGTGGGTAGAGAGCCAAGAATACACCTCTCATTTATCCACCAAGTTCTTGACCTGCATCCATTGCCTGCCATGTCTTCCTTGATACCAATAACAATAATGATTCATAATGATAATGAAATACTCGCAATAGTAGTACTAATGACAAGCTGCTGCTTGTTGGACCCCGACGAAGTCCACTGTGATAATAACAATAATCATAATAGTAATAGTAATAGAATAGTAATAGTACTAGCAGCTTTAATAACATAATCACTTCGTCTGAACCTGCAAATTCTTTCTTGCTGGCTCCAAATCTTCTGGACGCTGATCTGCTTCTGCATGTGCCCTAGTGAGCGCGCCTTCTTTGACCATCGGCCGGAAAGGTGTGGTTAATCTGAATTGGGAGGGGGCGAGGCCTGAAGCGTTTTGCATCAAGTAAGACATGAAAGATGGCTTTCGGGTTGGTATTCATGTTCAGACTCAGCTGGACCAGGACCGTTTTTGAATGCAGTGGCTTTGCAGTTGGGCTGTTCAGAACCGCATGCTCCCCTTCAAGCTGCAGATGTTTGCTGAGATTGGGGTCTGTGTTGAGGTTTGAGTAGAAGCTTCATTGTCTTCTAGTCACTAGTCAAGTCAGCGCTTTAGAGTCGGGGATTACGCAACTAGTATGACTTGAGCTGTAGCAAGAGATAACATCGAACGCTGTATGCAAAACGCACAGGGCTGCCTTGCCTTGCTCACGGAGATGTCCTGCTTCAGTCGCGCTACCGCCTGCAAAGCAGCTGAACAATCCCTCCATGTGGTTTGTGGGTAAAGCGCCGGCTGCAATCCAGTTGCATCTGTCATGGCCGTCAACTCCTCGCTCATAGATTGCATAGCAGCCTGGCCAAATGATGAAATCAGGGAAGTGCTGGACCGGTCTCATCCTGAGCCCTGAGGCCTCCTGCATCTCCGAGGACTGGAAACTGGCGCCGTGCTGGTGCTTGCAGGCCGGCGACTCATTTCGTGCAATGTCCTCGCCAAACACTTCGCAACACCTGGAACTTGCAAACGCATGAACATTTGGAACCTTGTGAGAGCGCCCGTCTGCCAAAGCATCAATCTTCTTCTCAAGCACCATGATTTTGTCCTCGGGCACAGATTTGCATACCTGTTGGCAATGGAAAAGCTGGCCAGGGTCGGGCCTCGAGATTCAAAATGATGCGTCTCACGACAGCATTGAGCTCCTGAAAATTGAGGCAGACCACCCAAAGCGCAAGGCGCTGCTGTATGTGATGGCTTCTCGGTCCTGCCCTCCACCATCTCCAAGAATTCGTCGGTTATCCTTTATCGACTGCTCCAGCTTGAGGACCTCTCACTTGGTCTGCAACATGTGTAGACCTTTCAGCTACTGAGCTACCTGACTTACTGGCCCAAAATATTTTCGTATGCCTTGTCTGTGATGGCGGCCAGATCTGGGACCTCCACCTGCTTCAGACGCTTCTGACCGGCTTTCTCAAGCTCAACATCCCTGCCTTTTGCTTATGTAGGACAGCGATCGAGTTCTGCGTCCAAGCTTTCACCTGAAATCAAAGGACGAGATGACCAATGACCACAACATGTTTGCTTCATGTGCGTCACACACTCAAAAGCTCCGCCGGAGGGCCTATCATGCGCACTTGCTTGCTGGCAGCAGAATCTCTGGCAATATCAAGAAAATTGGCGAGTTTGAGGAACCAAGCGGGTCCGTGCACAAGCATGTTACGCATAGACGTCTGTCTCTCACGGCATGCATACGTCGATGGCACGCCCTGCAAAAACAGCATCTGCATGCAACGACGAGCATCATGTGAGGGGGCATTTTACCCCACAAATCAATTCAGGAGGCTGTCACCACGCAGTTGCCGCTACCGAGAACCTTTCACTTCTGCGCCGGCACTGCTTACAAATGATGTCGCTGGAGTATGCAGCTCAAATCAGTTTTTTGCATATTCCCTGATGTTTCATTTGAAGCGTGGGATGTGCAACGTGGAAGCCTCGGATCAACACCAAAAGGGCAAATGCGCACGACATGGTTTCCGGGGGCGGGCTTCGGTGGGGTGAGGGTGTAGCTAATGCGCTTCTCATCCCTGCCAGCCAAAGGGAAGAGAGTATCAGGGACGATTGTTCGCGAAGAGGGTTATGAAGGATCAGATTAGCCGTACTGGACTAGACTGTTCATCTTGCTTGAGCACGCACGTATCTTCCAGAGTATCAGCCGGCAGGCAGGTTTCTCAGAGCTCTGCTGTTCTGGACTCCAAGCGCAGTGCATTCAGCACAGCATCCCAAATCTACAGCCTCTTGAAGCTCGTGGATGAACTTGCGATTGGAGTTGTACATGGAGGCCTCTGAGCTGCGTAAACGCCCAGGAGATGCTAAGTTTCTGTCATGAGGTCATCCGATGTAAGCTGCAAGCTGACGCTTCCTTCAGCTCGACCTGGCAGGATCTTGATACTTCAACTTCAACGCTCAAACACATGAAACATCATGTGCAACATCATGAACTGAGGCCTTCATAGCTTGATGATCAGACCTCATCTCCTCGAATCCGGTCTGCACCTGTTGTCGTGCATTGGACAGGTGAAAAGCGAAATGATGGGAAACCGCCTTGAAAAGAATCTCACCCGATTGGCTTCATTTCGAAAACCCACAGGATGAGCCCTCGGCCTTCGTGAGCTCAGAACGCGGCGCTGCTACTGACTCAACCTCAAAGTTGGAAAGCGCCAAGTCTACTCTTTCCAAGAGTCGTTAGCCCTGGCACTAGGCCCCACGACCTTGAAGAGCTTCTCTCTGACTTCCACCAGATTCTGCGCATTGAATTTTGTGTCCCCCTGCGCATTCACAACTTATACTGTGCTGCATGTTGGCACCTGCCTGTTGGCTTGGCCAAATTTGCTGGTGCCCTAGATAAGATAAGGCTGGCACCTCGAGTGCCTCTATCCGGATCTTCAGATCTGCAGCCAGCAGCACTCTTTGCGGATTTTGTTGGCCATCTTGCAACCCCCCCTTCCTGGGACGTTCAGCTTCTCGATTGCCCCCAGGCGCCTGGCCGAGCACGGCTTGAAAAAGCAGCCTCCAACTCTAAGGACGAGCTCATCTTAGGCTCTAACGCAACCACCTGTTGGAGATCTTCTTTATCAACTTTGCGAACGTGATCCACATCCTCTCCAAGCTCAGCTCAGAACAACCCCGTGCAGAAAGCAATCTCATTTTGCAGCCGCCTGGGCCCTCTTCATGTTGAAGAGCTCCGTGCCAAGCCTGTTACAAAGCTCTCAAGAAGATCCGGCGCAGCCAGCGAAGCACTCCAGCCTTTCCAGGCGTTCCTCAAAATGAAGCAGCTGCGGCCCTGCAACCTTATTCATGTCTGCGCAGCTACGTTTTTGCTTGGAATCTCAAAGGTTCCATATCAGACTCCGGCTCCCACGTCGTCAAAGCCACCCATGCCCATGCTCATACTCATGAGGCCGTCAAGTGAAAGGTTGTCCCGGAAGCTTCCAACAGCCTGGGACAACACTTGTTGCCTCACTTTTCTCACTGTCTTCCAAAAAGGCACATGCCAAGCAACCATCGAACTGCGCAGCGGCAGGCTGCCAACTCCAGCCATTCCGCCTCCAATCCACCTGTGCTATAAACTCTCCACCGCGGTCACCACATTGAGCGGTTGAGCGGAAGGTTCTCCTGGGGCGCTGGCTGCACAACCTTGGCCTCGAACTCTTCTCGATCGTTGTCGAACCTGCCGGATAAGTTGACAACTTAACCTTCCATCTGGGGCAGAAGACCGTTGGTTTGAATCAGCTTGCCACATTCCAGTCGTATGCAGCCGAACGGCTGCTGGAGACACATGGCGAGATCCCTGCCCATCTCGTCTCTTGGCTTGAAGCACCAGCTCCACCTGAGTCCGTGAGTCTCATGGGAGCCACAGCTCCCGCCATTGATAGCTGAGCTAGGCAGAAAAAATCGTGAGAAGGACTGCCAAGGCAACTCGCAGCAGGAGGCGCTCACTCTATTTCATTTAAAGGTTTTGGTTTGCCCGCACCTCATTGGCACAGACTACTGAATGTCATGAAGCTCAAATCCCTGCGCCCTGCCAGTGTTTTCTACATCGACATAGCTGACTATCCCGACAACATCCGCGGAACCACTTCACCAAATCAACTCGCAATCGTCAACGCTATCGCACTTTGTGGGGGGGCTGGAATTCCAGGCTTTACAACTGAACGACGAAAGCTAGCAAACCCTCAAAAAACCTTAAGCCCTATCCTAAACCTTAAACCCGGCTCAACCCGACATCCTAAAAACCCACCTCAACCCTAAAAACCCCTAGACCTTAACAAGCCCTAAACCATATCAAGCTCTAAACCGAAAACCGCAAACCAAAAAAACAAAAAAAAAAAAACTAAACCCTAACACCCTTTTGCCCTAGAAGGCGGTAAACCTTAAAAAACCTCAAACTGGAAAAAGCCCTAAACCCTTAAAAAGCCTAAGCCCTACAAACCCCCAAACCCCTATTCTGTAAACATCCCTCTAAACCTTGAACATCCCAAGGACAACTCCGAACCCTAATACACCCTAAACCCTCAGAACCCTTAAGCCCTAAAAAACCGTAAGCCCTGAAAGGCCCCAAATCCTTAACATTCTTTATAAGTTATAAAACCCTCAAAACCCGGAAAACCCTAACATGAACCCTAAACTCGAATAAGCCCTAGACCTGAACAAACCCTCTCTCTCTCTCTCTCTCGAAGGCGAAAAGCGCGTCCAGATCCGGACCACTTGTCAGCAGCCCGTTAGAAAAAGAATGATCCATTAATAGATGGAAATGCGATATCCACATGCCTTTAGGCCTGTTGGAGTCGGTGTCTAAAGTAAAAAGGAGAACAGTGAGAAAGTT